TGTTTTGTGAGAACTAAAACAAAAATTCCAAAAATTGGAAAATATGCCCGAATTCCGCGCAAGCCGAAGGAATGACGGGGCCGTGCGGCGCGCGAGGCCCCTTGCGGATCGCGGGGTTAAGTGGGTGCCACTCGGGCCGGCCTCGTGGCCTCGTAAAACCCGGGCATAAATCTGCCAGAATCCTCGATCTTTGAGTAAACAGTCGTGTTAATTACCAACCACAGGTCTCAACTTTTCATTTTTTTTGTTTTCAATTTTGTGACAAATTTTTACGACCTTGATGGTTTTCCTTTTTGGGGGGAATGCGTGCAATTGGATTTCGGTGACCGGTGGATCACCGTACATACCGGCCAAAGGAGTTGACCCTACGAGTGACAGATTTGTTATTTCAGTCTTAGTCGTAAAGATTTGTTTTTCTTAGTTTTCTCCTTTTTGATAAACTCGTAAGAGGATCAAAAAAGTGAGATAACATAGTCAAAATGAGAGTTTCTACTTAAATTTGGGATTTTCCATTTTGGTTTGTAAACGGTTGCTCAAAGGTTTTGATCTGAAATCTGTAATATTGCCACTTAAAGGGAATATACAACATTTTTTCTGCAATTTTCAGTAAAAAAAATGGATTTGGAGGATTAGAATGTTGTAGCAAATATTGTTTAACTGACTTGCTTCACGTTTTGGGCTTGTAGATGCTGGAAAAACCAAGAAAACCAATCATGTTCTTGTAGTCTGGTTCCCTGACCCCACTTTAAGATGAAACGGAGCAATTTGTTGACTTTGGGGAATCGTAAGGTCAGAGAATCAGTCTGGCAGGCTTGTACCCCTTCACAGATGTGTAATCAATTGCAAAGAAAATGCGGAATAACTAAATATGAAAACCAAGGAGCACTTTTGGAATAAACTTTTTAACTTTTTAAAATTAGCCAGTTTTCTCCAACGCTGGTCGGCTGACCAGTGTTGGACATATACAATTTTTCTTGAAAATGTCAGCACACCAGGAGCCACGATTTTTCAGGATGCTTAAGACTGTCATTCCCTCATAAAACAGTCAGGTATTTCGTGATAATTTGATCATTTCGTGTTTTGATGTTTTCAAATGTTGTATCTTCCCTTTAAAACATTTCGACATTTTTTTCACACTTACGACGTTAGATGGATTTTGCAGGGAACTTGTGACACTGTACACGACACTGACCCAAAGTCTCCTTGCATCAGTCGTATACGTAGTTTACTAAACATATAGGATCATTTGTTTTGGGGGGATTTGTTCTCGTTTGAAGCAACAAAATTGCTTAAAATCTTAGGAAGCATAACAACTAACCTGTTGAAATTCAAGCTGAGTGGATACTGTACACATTTTGAGAAAACAGGGATAATATATGCTCAATTCGTTGAGTCTCGTATAACTGAATTCCATTGCTAATGCACGTAAACCTATGTCCAAGGGCGCTCTATTTTGATACCACCTTCAACGCATGTTTCCTTCCGAACCATACCATTTCAGGCGGACTAATTTCACAGGGTATTTGATAACAGTTCTGTCTGCACTTTGAGCAAGGTTTCTGTCACAGTAAAAATGCCAGTATGTACTTTTCCAGGTAATTGCACATGATCCTCCTGGCTTTATGGGAAAAGAGGTTTCAAACCCAACATCTTAGCCCTGCTGTCAGTGCTCTCCAAAAACCCAAGTTTTACCAAAATCCTGGAACAATGAGCCCTCAGTTCCAATGTAATTACACACGTGCATAGCAAGCCACGGAAGGCTTTCAAAATTCCAGCGCGCGTGAGTTACGGGCCCTCATTAAATTTTGATGAAGTTCAAAAGCCACGATCGCGTTTCTAAACACATACCGGCCACAAAAAGGGCTTGGGCTCCCTGGCGGGGCGCAAAGTTAGGCCCGCTGCGTTCAAGTCATCGTCCAAAAAACATTTATGATAAAATGACCTTTTCTTCAGTTAAGGCATCCATGATTTAAAGCAATTTGAAAAGTTGGCGTGCTGGCATTTGGATTGGGGGCGAACACACTTTCCAATTATGGCATAATTTAGCAAGTATTTCAGCCACATTTGGCCGTTTCTGTTTTTTTGCAGCACATTTACCACATGTTGTTGCTCTATAATGAGTTTATTCAAAGGTCGTTACATCTGCAGTTGTCGTCTGCGTGCTAACTTTTTTGGAGGGGGAGGGGGTTACCAAACATGTGATACTAGTCTGCCTGGCATGGTGCCATTTCAAAGACAATCACAATAAATGTTGGTTATTTGTAATTCCAATCTCAAACAATCTGTCATTCACCTGTCGTTAATTGAAACAAATTGCAAGTTTCAGGAGACACTTTTAAGAGACACTAGATTTTAGTGTAACATTCAAGTTAAGACCCTTCGACATGAGGTGCATTTTAAATTGAACGTAACATTATGCTGTAAATCACATCTCGTCATCTGGCAAGTGTAAAATCACCCGTACACGATATTTTTTTTACATCAAGTACATATCACGAATACAATACCTGATGCAAGATTTCACACACGTCTATTTGGTAATTCGATTGAGGATATGAATATTCATGAAAAGTTCGTTGACATTATTTGTCTGTTCTTCTGTGCAAGCATGCACAGCTGATCAGTGTTCCACTACAATGGCTGGAATGCAAATGAAACCACAATAAAAAGGAGCGCCGCCTGATCACCTGTGAAACACCTGTATAGACCGACTTTATGGGGGCGTGTGCGTGCAAGGCCAAAATAGCGCCAACTCGCGTGACCAGACTCGACATGTCACGACTTGAATTTTCCTTCCCTTGTCCTTCGTAAAAGCAAATCTTTAGCAAATATGCACCCACAAACTCTTGCTATCTCACTACTTGATCAAAAGTACTGGTGTTTTGCCATTCTAATTTAGTCTAAAGCTGATTTTGTCTTTGAGGTTACCGTGGTCGTTATAAACTTTTCGTCGAAGCTGTTGGCAGAAATTCCTTAACGCGATTTAGGTATGTCGCACGGCCATAATTTGTGCATGATTGGTACCGTGAAAAATCGATTGATTTATAAACGAGTATGCAAGTTGCGGATCACATTTCAAATAAATAGAATAGTCTTGACAAGTCATTTACTAACGGGAACCGCAAAGGGCGCCCTTGCCGTAGAAACTTTTGAAAGTCGCGATTACGTAATCGCCCCTCTCGCAACTTGAAAGATCGAATCATGAAGTACAAAGTGAAAGCTGCTAACACGATGCTCTAAAGTTTAGAAAGACATCGTCGGTGTAAAGTCAGTATATAGGCGATTCATTTTTCTGCCAGCAGTATTTATCCATAAAAAATTATGGTTGTCGATTGACACTTTTTGGCAGTGATTTCAGGTAGATTCAAATGTAGATTAGCAAGATGCTCATTGGCTGCTTGTGCCCATTCATCGCTTTCCCCTTGACTTGGGAAAAAACACTAAAATTGCTTATTAGAGAAGTGCTTTGTTCCTTGCCGGAACAATGCACTACAGTTGGACGATTTTTCATACACAACACAAACGGTTTCCACCATATTGTTCAGCCAACATGGCTGATTGCATTGCTGACGTCACCGATCTTAATAACCCTCATTCGATCAGCATAAAGGAATGTGACCCCCAAAGTTTGCTCCGCTAAAAGCAATAGATTATTATTTACCATTGTCTTGTACTGGCTTGTGGTGGGCTTAGAGAAAACAACGTAGGCGAATTCGAAAGACCGGTCACTTGAAACGACGAAAATAATCTTGCTGAAATAGTTCCCAAAAACTTGTCAGGACTTGCTCTATGTATTTCTTTCTCTTTTTTTTATTCTTTAGTATCGATATCGCAGAGAGGTGTTGTTATTTACCTTGTGTTGGCACGCGACGCAGTCCGCGCCACGTCAGTTACAAAGTTCGCCGCGGCACACGAGCCCGAGACAATGGGACGAAAGGTGAGTTCCCACGGTCGGCGCAGGTAGGTTGTGCAATAGGGTGATCCCCCCCCCCCCCCCAGGGGTGCAAATTTCGGGGGCTGGCTTTAAGCCAGGAAAAACTAGTTTGTAAGCAATTCTTTCTAACTAACTTACAAAACAGTGGTTGTTTATTCTTAACATAAGATATGAACGAGATTTGGAAAAGTTACATATTTGGAGGAATTAATGTTTTCTTTAAGGACAATCGTCAAATGAAACCATAAAGGCAAGGACAAGGTTTGTTTTAAATCAATAAAAGATTGAGCATTAACATTGACTGGAGTTGGACTTTTAACCTGCGAATTCCTGATGAAAATTATTGGCTCTTGACCAACTGAGCGTAGCACCAGTCCTGTGTTCGCACAAAGATGAAAATAGTGTGCCCACATGTCGGGTTTTTTGTCTAACCGTGTCCCACAAGAGAAGTTCTGAAGCGGGGTTTAAGGAACAATGCAGGTACCCAACCTACTTCATCCGTAGAAGGTTGTGTGGGTGTGTGTGGGTGCCGGGAACCAATGTTGATGGGAAACCCAAATTTACCATAGTTTCATTGGCACAATACATAACCAAAGCGGTACAAAAATGAGCTGATTTTAACAGGTTGGTTTACGGAGGCCCGTAGTAGCCATTTTAACGCAACAAACACATCCACCATTAGATGTCGGGACTTAAGTTGAACACATGCAAAAGACCCATTGCATTAGAGCGCCCTCGCAGTGAACTGGTCGTTGTTTCTCCGTGATACGCATGCGTACACTTGTTTCTTTTCTTTCATTGTCACTGAATGAGAACCTACCCTCAAGACGGAGGGCGCTATCATCCGCTATGTATACAACGGGTCTATTGATACGGGGTGGCTGTACTTTAAAGAGTTACGATGTATATATGGAATCGGCCCCAAAGGTAAAAAATAATTTTACAGAGTACCTGTCGCCATGAATATTATCTGTTCACCAAAGTAAACCTATTACTATAATCTTTTCGCATCTGGAACCCATTAACACAAAATATAGTTTACAAACCACTCGAAGATGAATAGAAGCGAATTCTCTTCAGTACAATTTATTTTTATGCTCTGCATATACGCTCACCTCACGATAAACCAAAAACATAAATAACTTAACAAGACCACACAAACACTTCAACTATTGTCCTCGAAAATTCCTCGTGTTTTCGAAACACTGTGTACTGTGTAAAATAAAACTCACAGGCTAGCCTCTAGTCCACAAACAATCAATCCATCAATTCAATAAATACAGGAAAACAAACAACGCTAAACGTTTATAATTTAGAAATTTAGAAAAATAATTTTCCATTGCAAAAATAGTTCATTATCAGAAAAATATGATTTGATTTTAGTGTCACAAAATATATACAAGAAACACAAAACAGCTCAATAAAGTTCAGAGAGTGTTATGAATGGAAGACTGAATCATGAGAAAAACATTGAAGAAAAAAACACACGCAATCGGCACTTGAAGCGACAATCAATATGGCTGATAAGCGTCTCAATTTTGACGATCCGTTAAACAGTGAAAACAATTTGAATCGTCACGTGCATACTTGTCACTCGACGTAATGTATTTGTTGGTCTGGAACAGACTTGTTTCAACTCGAAGAAAAAAAATCGCTGACTAACACCAAATCTGAATCATGTGATTCTACGGCAACAGGTGGAAACGCATTTGAGGTTTCATGAAGAACTTTTTAGCATATGTTCCTGGTGAGCTTTTTTTCTGATATCTAAATGGAACTTAGACCTGCTTTAAGACGGACTTTTGAAATTCAGCCAACCATTAAAAGTTTGCAAATTCCTGAAAGTAAACACGCTGGTTAATACAAGGCTTATGACACAGCCTCTCGAAATCAAAGTTTAACCCTAAAAATCTTCACATTCTACTTCCCGAAATTTTTCTGTGTTCTGAAATACGCATTGTATCGAATATGCTAGCAATAATGCTTCTTTATTTCTGACATAAATAAATACTTAAGAATAGATGTAAAGTATAAGATGAAGACAGAAATCACACACATTTTACAAAAGTTCATCTACCACGGTCTCCACATTGGATCAATGTCCCCTGAGGCTACGGTATTTACTGCAAACATCCCTGGCAATCGAATGGGACGGCCCATCTGCTCCGCAGGTTTCTTAGCCTGGACGGCCGCCCCGGGCGGCGAGATTTTGGCGTTAAAGGGGATGGAGAAAGCGAAAGGCGGCGCCATGGAGGAAGGCGCGACAGCGCCCGCTTGCGGCGAGACGAGTTGCGCAGTCGGCAATGGTATGGCCGTCCACGCTGCTGGCTGACCGGGGGAGACCATAGCGGGCGCCGCCTGAGCAACTTTGGGGCTTGGCGTGGAAACGGCACACATCTTGGGATTGTTACTATAGCTACCACTACTCTGGGGTGTGGTCGACGAGGGAACTGTCTCAGAGCTGGCAAAGGAATACCCCAGGGGAGGAGCCACGCCCTTCCCTGGTTCTTGGGCGTAGACGGGTATCAGATGGGTCGGTACCTGTCCCCCTGGCAGAGACTGACTTGGAAGGAGGAGAGTTATCATATCGCCCATCGGCTGAGGATCAGGAGCTTGTGGGGTTGTGCTAGCCGGCAGAATTTGGGCAATCATGGCTGGCGGTTTGACCTCCGACACGGGCACTTCAGCTTTGGGAACCGACGATGGTGTACGACCGGTACCCTTCGCAGGGGACAGTCGTTGGGTTGGAAGTTGCGGCACCTGCGCAGAGAGTACCTGTGGTGCGCCCCTTGTCCTTGCCCCCTCCACGGCCGGCGAGGTCATCAGGGCCACCGGGTGCGACGGCAGACCGCCGTTCGACAGGGGCGGGGTCGGGAACCCGACCTGCATCGGTGCTTGCTGACTGTGATGGCGTTGGTGGACGGAGCTGGGCGGGGTCGAGCTGGGGGCGCTGTTCATGACAACCGCCGGTGACGTCGACGATGACGGCGGCTGCACCCGACTGGTCCCCGGCGACTGCGTCTGGGCGCTGGTGACCGCAGCATACCTTGCCGACTGCTGCTGTTGCCGCTGATTGGTGGAGGCGCAAAACCCCGCTAGGTGACCAATCAGACGTGCCCGTACCTCCGGGTTCTCCTCTATGGCCCCACCCAGGTAACGAGACACCTCCCCCATGCATTCGGCGAACCCTGTCCGGTACTGGGTTATGACAGCCGGATCCGTCTCCATAGAAGCTAAACAAAAATAAACGATGACAACAAAAACCCAATTAATCAACATTTTCTCCTGAGGGCAGTCAAACCATGACCGAAAAGTCTACGAAATAATAATCAAGGTTGTCACTCCACACGGTATTTCCCTTATCATTTTATTTATCACTGCATTACCTTTTTTATGCTTATGCAGAGCATAATGCAAAATGCAGCGTAATAATCTCATCTATCAACAACACAATGGCGTCATGAAGGCTTCGTCAAAGGATTGCAAAGAGAACAGAATCGCGATTGAAGTTGCCCGCCTCCCACGAGACACAGTTTAATGAAATTAGTCTTAATCGGAGTAGGTATAATCGATATTCAGACAACCCGATCGCAAATCGATACCACTAAGATTCGTGAACCAAAAAAGGCACTGAAGGAAAACTTCACAAATGCCTGTTTGCATTCAGTGCGACACCGCCCAAGCATACAGCACATTTAACTATAAGGGCCTTTAGCGGATTTCGTCGCATTTATGGGACGGCACGGATAGGTGTCTCATAAAATTTGGACTCCAAGAAATAAGGACTTGGTGCCTGTATACTGCGCATGTCTATTAAGACAGTCTAATAAAAAAAATCTTCACATGTGTGACTGAGAGCCATAAGGTAAAGTGACCCAGAGTCAAAATATTATTAAAAAGAAAAGTGAATTCCATTGTACCTTTGACTTGTTGGCGTTGTACGTTTCTCAGGTAGCGCACGGTCATTTCTAAGATGTCTGCCTTCTCCAGCTTCGAATGGCGGGAATTCTGTGTATGAAACCAAGAAATTAAATCTATCATCACAGATCGGTTGAACAGAAGTCAGGCTTTTACGTAGAGACATGCGACAAGACGGGCCTGACCCCCTTTGGCCCGCTTTGACCCCCTTTGACCCAGATTGTTCAACGGAATATCTTGAACTGTTATCAGACCCCAAAAAGTGTCAAATATATTTGGAGTGTTCAGTTATTTCGCTACCTTGAAATCGATAAATGTATCATCCGGCGCTTGTTGATCGATTATTACTCAAGGGCAACAAAATCTATGCCTCGATTGGCTTGCTGGAAATTGACGATAACTTGATCAAAGCAAGGCCGTTTTACCAAACGCAATGATCCCCCCCCCCCAAAAAAAAAAATTCGATTCCTTCGCGATTCGTTTTTCTTCAACCTTCAGACTGGTAGTAATCGATCTCACATCATACGCCAGAAGTCATACCTTATTTTGGACTCTGATGCACTGAGTGCGGAACGAATATCCGTGACGTGTCGGGTCATGGGTTATTCATAATGTGACGTAGCCTGAATAATTTATGACCATTATCCTCGTCCTCGTAAATAAAAGATATCGTGAATTATCGCAGTCTGCAGACAAGTCTGTTCTTGCATGGCATTGTGTTTGCCCGCCTGTGTTTATTTACATAACAAACTCATGTCCATATTGGGACAATTCTGTGCAATAAACGGGCGAGGCTAAAAAAAAAAGGCAAAATAATCTGAATCACACAGGAAATAAAATAAAGGCCGACTGGTACAATTGGTTTAAAAACAGCATGACTTAAGCCTGTTACGTGAACAAGGAAACGAGAGCTCGGTATTAACAAGAATTTCTTTCGTTTTCTTCCTTGTTGAATTATTCGCTCTCATGCGTTGACTGAAGACAGAACGATTTTTGATGGGAGCTGTGACAGGACTTCGCAATTTGCATTGTGCAATCCCATGACATAGCGGATTTCACACATCAGCGCAGAATCTGACAATAGCCAAACAACAAACGAATTGAGAATGAGATCACTCCGTGTACAGATGCGGCCATCTCGCATCAACGTCAATTCTCACATATCTCTGAGATGTAGGTTTTTATCTGTTGTCACAATGACAGCCGAAAACTCACGTCTAAACCCACTCGGTAAAGCTGCATCAACAAGGAAATGAGCGACATTTTAATTAATTTAAACGATTAACGTCGTTTCCAAGCTTGTCCCAAGTAAAAGCACCCATTGCCACATGGTTTCTGAGGCACACTTCCTGATTTTGAGTTTTAGCCCAACTTCTTTATCATGTGCACTGTATCCACACAGCAAATGCTAGGAGCTAAAAGGGATAAACTAGCGGTACTGAACTTTGAAAACCAGTTGGACTGCCAACTTACGTTTTTGTTCAGCCCGTCCAGCACGAGCGCCTTCAGCTGCTGGAGACTCTCGTTGATTCTCGCGCGACGTCGTTTTTCCATCGCAGGCTTCGATGCCTAGGGAGGAAAAGTCGGAAATTTCAAGAACTTTTCAACACTTGAGAACTTCTCAAAATCTTCAAATCGATGTAGCAAAAACAGAATGAATAGTTTACGGGATTGTGACAGGATTGGTTTTTCCTCTTATAAGCTTAACAGAAAAATTACAAAACGGCAGGATTAGAAAACCAGTAGGCGATTAAAACTTAAATTAGAACACAGTTATGCAACCCAACGAAAATATACCATGAGTTCGTTCTACAGTTTGTGAAAAACTCATTAAAATGAAAAGTCATATTAGTTTCAGTTAGACGATCAGAACAAAGCTGGAAACAAAAGTAATCCAAAATAAAAACATTTCACAAAGTGTTTTTCCATCTCCATCAGGAACTAAAATTGATCAATTAAATAATCAATTATTACAATTAGTTAGAATCGATTACGTAATGGGTAATTCTTAATCACCTTCATTGTTTGTTTCTCCATGTCGGCACTCGTCATCATTTTTTCCCCGGCAATCTCACACTCCCAGCTGGCAAGTGGGACAAGCAACAAAACAGAAATCCACCTGTGTGTTGGAATGCCTTGATGAATCCGTCCGCGCACGCTCCCTAACCAGTGATAGAACACCTGATTACAGATTTAACGTCTGCTTCGCGACCTTTGGCTAGTCGTAATCATCGACTGCACGCTCCGCTAACTCGGTTGACAGTCGCTGAACAAACCCCTGCCCGTGCATCGGAATGCCCCTGCTTATTTGGAGCTTGGGTTTTTTTCCCCTTTTCTTGTCCTCTCTGACTAATACCCCTTGCGCGTTCTCGGTCGTGTGAATCCCCCGGTAGAAGATTTCCCACAGATCTTTTTCTCTTTCTTTCTTTTCTTTCCCCCTTTGGTCCAATAGACACGTCTGAAAACAAAAGCGTCTTGGGGCCCTCTTTTGTGCTTGCCACCTTCAACTCGCGGGTTGAGAGACGGTCGGGCCCCCGATTGGTGGAAGTTAATGGCGGCTATTGTCTGGAGGCGCGAGCCCATTGGCTCGCCGACTGAGCGACGTCATCGAGGCGTGGGGTAATTACCCTGACAGTTGACCCGATTTTGTTGTTAGGACCGCACCGGTGAGAATGTGGCCGCCGTGTTCTGGCACTCGCACGTGCGGCGTCTTTTGTTTATCGCCGGGGCTAGCGATCGTGTGGACAAACGTGGGAAAACCACGCCCCCTAAGGTGCACACCAGGTAACGCACAGGTGGGTAGTAAACAAGTGACTGATAGCCTCAACTCCATCCCACGCACTCGCTACTGGCTAAGCCCAGGTGAGAGAGGAAAAGTTTGTGAGAAGCGAACCGCACCAGACCCCGAGGACTCCGTCTTTTGTACGCAGATCAGCACGGCCAGAGGGCTTGCCTGAGACGAGGCTAAACACCGACTCACTCCCATGCTCCAGCTCCCTGTCTTAAGCTGGCACCGCCGGGCTAAAAGAAGTAAATGACACTACCAGAACCGGCGAAGAAAATAGCTACACACTATCAAAATGCTGACTATTTACATACCGATACACTACACGCATTTTCATTATTATATTCATATTAATAGACGCGATTCTGGGTTGAATTAGGGAAATTTGCCTGCCAGGCAGGCACAGAGTTAATGCTTTTGGCCTAAGCTCCCTTTCCTTTCCCTTAAAATTTTCCACCTGTTACTCTTCAAATCTGAGACCGATTGCAACCTGGTTGTCATGGTAACGTCACGTGCAAGCCAATCACGACCAGCCCTTTCCGATTTTCCAATTAAAACGAGCCAGTAATTGCTTTTCTTCCGTAATTAGGAACTCGTTTTCGCGTCACTGCCAATTTAGTCAAATCAGCGTGGTGCCATTTTTTTTTATCCCACGCCATTCCCACGGATCGATGTCTTTACTTGACCCGGCCGTCACCCGACGGTGAAATAATTGCTGCCAAATTGCAAATTAGGCTACAGTGTTCTTGGAGATGAAAAGCACAATGCTAAAAAACGTTATCTTCTCTTTGTTGGCCACATTTTCTCTTAGTTTTATGTTGGAGATATTGTTCGTGATTTGCCGTTAAAGATTTAATCGCTGGTAAAAAAAAAATTATAATAAAAAAAATATTTAAATAAGAAAAAAGAAATAGAAATGTACAAAATAGTCTCTGGAGAGTGTTCAATAGGTTCCCTAAAGTTGATACTTTTAGAGGCCACCATAGTTTTCCATAGTAAATGATGTAATAATATTCCTTGAGATTTTTAATTTAATCAGTCTTTTGAAACGTCTTTTTTGGTAGTTATCTCATCGAAGTTACGCCAGAATCACCAGAAGTCTGCCAAGAAAGGGAGTCGCTACTGGAGCACATTGCCGACCTAATACGATTTGGCATAAACTTTTTTATATCCTTCATACTCACATTTATTCTTTATTGTCCATGTCTGCTTTGAAAAAAAGCTTATAGATAGTCGTTAACTTAGGTAAAAGTTATTACAGCCAAATACTTTTTAAATTAAAATTAACTTCTAAGTGGCACATGAGATTCAACAGGGAACGCAAAACTTTGACCAGAAAAATAAAACATTTGTTAGTTCTATTAAACTCATGGATGATATAGCGACTGTCAACCATTTTAGGCAGCCTGGTCAAAAAATGACGAAACATGAAAATGCAAGTTCAGGCCATTTCGATTCAGAACACACAGTGATAATTTTGGATATGGTTCGATATAGCATTTCATCACGTAGTCATCTATATAACCGCACAACAATACACAATACAACAATACACCATAGGAAAGGTGTGCTGCGATAAATGAAATCAAATATGACAAAAAAATATATATGAATGGCAGGAAAATGGCCGTAAAAAAATGGAAAAGAAAAGATTGATGTGTGGGAAATGTGGTACACAGGTAGGTCCCACGCTCGGCAACCCAGACCCGACCAATGAACAAAGCACACCTCAGTTCACGGTGTCAACCTATTGTTATTTTCACAACAACAACCAGGAAGGAAAAAAACACTTCCCCTGATGAACTTTTTGCAACAGCACCAAAAGCGAGTGAGAAAAAAACACGAGCAGTCTTTCTATTCTGTGCGATTCAATTATTGAAAAAGTCAGCTTTTGTTTCTTTTTAACCGTAAGATTTTTTTCTTTCGATTTCGAAATTTCTCCCACGGTGTTCGGTCCGTGCCGTGCCGCGCCACCGGTCGGCCCGCGTCGGTCTTTCCTCACGTGTGCCCGAAAAATGATAAATATTGATTAAACACCAACACAAAACAAAACAAACAAACTAAATCAACCATAAAGCCAATTATTTTACCTAAATAGGAAAGAAAAAGAAAGGATCTTGACAACAAACAATGGCTGTTTAAAATAAATTGACTATAGATAAAAAATACAAGATTAATTGTATTTACTTATCTTTGGTTATATAGAGCACGACACGTGATCTATTTTTGGTAGATGCGCGTACAGATTATTTTAAAATTTTATGAACTGTGTTTTTTTTCTCCAATAATCCCTTTCGCCTTCAAGAGGAAAGACAATGTAAAGAAGCTACTGAAATGGTTTCATTTTACATATCATACTTCATTTTCAAAGTTTATTTTGCATAAATCAATCCTAGCAATGCATTGGCAAAGCACAGTCATGAGACATTAAGATCTTGTTGAACTGCTGAAGAAACTTGAAGCTGACACCAGGGAACTTTGGATGTTTTTCAATAGCTTATGAATATATAAATTTTTTATTTTGAATCTTAAAAATAAAATTGTGATGAAACAATTGCATAAGAATAATAGTTTCGGTGGGCCCTTTGTTGCATTTTGTGTGTGTATGCACATTAAAGTTTTGAAAATGTACTGTAATTGTAAAACTGTAAAGCTATCATACCACGAAAAAGTCGTGTACAAAATAATGTCATAAACTCTTATTTCCCGCCAAAATTACCCTGGCCATTACAATGGTGATAGATTTCGAATTCATATTTTCCAATTCAGTTTTGCTTCTTTATTTATATATTTTTGTGAAGAATGGTTTTGCCATTAGGTGTGTGCGCTTTGTATATATCCTAAAAAGATATTGGGGGAAAAAAAGAGGGAGGGTTTTTCAATTGTGATTGCGTGGAGATAAGCTTTTGTATACACACAAGTTAACAAAAAGCAGAACAATTCCGTTTGTGTGTTTAATGAGATGGCTCGCCACGGAAAGCTGAGCGAAGGTGAGTTCCCACGGTGTGCGGCGCTTGTTTGGCCCGGCTTACCGCTGTCTGCACCTGTCGTGCCGATGGGACAAAGCCCAAAACCACCTGGACCAGCCAAGCGTGAACCCGCCGGCTTTGTTATGCAAATCGCAGGTATATTATAATTCCCAGAGCGCAGTCACGTGCTGGTGCGTTGTTTGTATGTGTCGCTCCAGTCCCCATTGAGTGGGCGGTCCTTACTGTATGCAAATCACAGATGAGGGATTTTGCTAAATGCGCAGGCGACATCACGGCGCGCTGAGCCCTGATTGGTCGGGTCTCGCTTCATTAATAAACAACACCTGTGTGCGTGCAAACCCTTGAAGCGCAGACTTTGGCCATCCACGCGCCACGCGCGCGTGGTGTCGAAGGCACCCAACCAATGAGGGAATTTTGTTGTTGACGGCGTAACGGAATTTTAAGTATTTGGCGCAAGTCTGTGAGCTTTTTCTCCCCCACCGGACAAACTATCATTTCTCTGCACCTGCATTTCAAAAAAACAGACCGAAAATAGAATCAGACGGCCGAATTCAAATACTTTTCATTATGTTTTATTGAAGTGTTAACGGCTATGCTATGGAGTCCCACAGTGATATTAGCGTTGCGACGCCGCCACTTAAACGTCTGAATAATAAGAAATATTTCCGATGAAAATATTTGGATTATTTCATTTTTATTTATTAGTTTCAGGAAACAAATACTTGGAATGTGCATTTTAAATCTGTTTTTTTTAATACATTAAAAACCGTAGTGGGTCTTATTGAATTGAAAGTGAGGTGAAATCTTAATTTTTGGAACTTGCGAAGAGAAATGAAAGCAAGTTAATTTCTTATCAATTCCAGTCTGCTTCAGTGAATAATTTAAAACTTGTAATTAAACATTTCCTAATGTTTAAAGCCAGATTTAAATTAAAAAATGACAGTAAAATAAGGCTGCATTGTGCCTGCATAAATAGTATGGCGCCATCCCATTCAACAGTTGACAATTAATGAAATACATTGAAGGAACTCGACAAAAATGGTCTACTCATGAATTAGGCCCATCGGCAGTGCCTGATATTTGAAACATTTAACATTAAATTAACAAATATATATGTTTGATTTGAGGCATTTTGTTCAGGGTTTAGACATTGTTCGCCCTCAAACCGTACGGCAAACCGTAGGCTCTGCCACAGACTGGTATGAAATCGAGCTGGGTGACAAACCCGAATATTCTTGCCTCTCTTCACCCAGGAGTATACATGTAAATGGGTGTTGGCATTAGCTTGGAAGTAACCTGCAATTTATTTGTTATTATTTATTTATTTATAGTTTTATTTAGACAGGGTAGCCTTATCAGTTAAAAACTGCTATTACTGAGGCCCCTGTATAAAATGATAAGAATAAAATGAAATAAAGGAAAAAATATTATGTTTAAATCACTAAGAACGTTAAGTAAAAGTAAAAACTATAATGAAGAAACCAAAATGCAAATATGTAACATATAGGGGTGTGAATACAAAAAGAAGAACAAATTTAAACACTAAGATACACATATAAACACTGACGAAGTACAACACAGAAATTAAATTAACATAACAAAAACAAAAACAAATTTTTAGTTTATATTACGAAATTGAAAATTAAAAAAAAAGGAAAAACCTGCAATGGACTAGCATCCAATCCAGGGGGATGGGGAAGAAATATTCTCAGTCGTTTCATGCTACTGAAACGCCGGCCTATCTGGGGGCGAATAAATGCCGGCCTATCGGGGGGCGTGCCCCTACGCCGCCGTAGCGCAGTGGTACACGGTCGGGCTTGGGAGCTGTAAGTGTCATTGGTTTTTGAAGTGCATTTATTCAGAGAATGTTTCTATTTGCGATATTTTTCTGCGGCGGCATATCTCAGACTTAATCATGTATCTAAACCTCCCATTATTATGCGTCCGTCGACGTTGCCACTTGTGTATTCCACTCGCCCCTGCAGTTTCAATATGGGATTTCGATCGACGAGCTATCTTTCATCATTTCTTGGTTGATTTTTTAAAGTTTGTTGTTCAAATAATTTGATTTCTACTGTCATTCTTTCAGTGGATGACAGAAGAATAAATTTATTATGACACTGGGACGGGAATGTACTTGAAACTTCAAAGAGGTGAAGGCCTAGTACATCATTCCTCGCAAAAGAAAATCGAAATTATAATTACTTTTTGAAGGAATTTCTGAGTGAA